GCGTCTCAGGTGTTATTGGTACAGAAAATGGGACTTGCCATGCATAATGACCTGAAACTAAATCTAAAAATATATTTTTTTTTGAACATGTGTTATACCGGGTAATATATGCACATGTATGGACATAGTGTTTCTACTGTGTATGTATGTATGTCATCTTGCAAGCCCCTTTTGGAATGATGGTCATTCATTTGTAACACAAGTACCAGATAGAAATACATGACTGCAACTTCTATGTCTGCCAATATAGTCAATGTTGTGTGCCTGGAGTACAGGTGTGTTGTGTTACCAGTACATTGACACCATTCATTGTTGTAAAACCTCTTTGATAGAATGTCATCTTTAGGAGCAAAGGTCAAGTGAGTCTTGTAATGTCCTCTTGTTGATTCCCATATAAGGCATGGATTTTTCGAATATACTATTAACCTTTACCTTTTTTCTGAGCGCTATTGAGGACTCTGTTTTGGAATTTTAAGCCTTCTTGTAAATGTAAAGAATACATAGATTTTGTCAAAAAATGTACTCCTTGCCCCAGTGTAAAAGTTTAGAATTACGAGTGAGAAACTGATGATTGTATTTCAGTGAGTGGTAATATCATGAAAAAAGGTTTTTTGAAAACGCCATTCTGCTTTAACCCTTTGAGTGCTTACTATTTCCCTCACTCAAAATGAGCTTAATTTGTTCATGTTATCTGTAATTTTTCCTCCATCATACAGTACCTTCTTGACACTGATAATTAGCCAATGATTCTTTTTTTTTCCAAAGGAAGTAGTTAGACATCTCTTTGTGGTTTTTTACGCAATCTGTTAATAAAATCGTCTACCAAATGTTTTACTCTACACTTAGGTTTTTTTAAGTGGTAATACTTATACTATGATTGTGAAACAGGCTTGATTGAATCAGGAAGGCATGTAACCTTTTGAATGAGAACACTCAGAATTGCGATGTAAGGTTAACTTTAAAAAATGCCTTTACACAAAAAATGGGGGAAAAATATTTACTCAATATTAGACATGTTTTATGACTCATTGTCGCTGTTCGTGATATTCACGATAGTGATTTGTAAGGGAGCCATGATGTTGAAATTTCTCAAAGGTGACTGCAACTATGTGAAATGTTAAAAATTTTGTGAATCGTTTCTGTTGAGAAAATCAGGAAATTTATGTCTCTCCGAAATTTAAACAGAATATGGCTATAGTGTAATACATATTGCTTGAGGGCACTTGGTCACAAAATATTTATTTACATATGAAAATGATCATGTGATGTCAAATGATCTCAATTTTAGTTTCGATATAGATCATTAATGGAATGACTTGTTTGTAGGTCACAGGGTGCGAGAGTAATATGGTTCATGACTACCGGGAGTACCCGGTAGTTACTAAGTCTTACTAGGGATAGCCATGTAAGAAGTGTAAGATTGTAATAGGAATGTACACCAGGTGTTCAGTTTCCACTGCCAGATCAATAAAAGGAGGCTTAGTTGTGACGTTTACTCTTTTAACACATTAAAAACTAAGTGATCGTCCTGCCAAGAGTTTCTTTTATGTACTCCAAGCAAACCACTTCATTATGTTGCAGCTGTATGGAAAGAAAAATATGCCCTACTTGTGAGCTTTGTACATAACCTGTATCTTGCATATAGGGTAGAAATGTATAGGATTGTGGGATAAATAATAATGCATTGCTTGAAAGCAGGAGTGGTTTACAGTTCATGTTAGCACAGGACTGTATGAGAAAAATACCCTCTATAGTCCAATTTTCTATCCCACAAACCTTTGCAAAATCCAATATGGAGTTAACACATTTCTTCCCCATACCACACCCATCAAGTTCAATAATTGACACGTACATGAAAACGTGGATCAGACGTACATGTATCCTTCACGATCAAATTGAAGTTTTAAGGTCATAGATGCATAAAAATGACAAATTTTCACCATTTCAAACTGGATCTCAGTTGTCTTTGGTCGGATTTAGTTAAACTTTATATAGATCAAACACAATGGTGCATGTCATTTTATTTTTCTAATCAGCTTCAAAATGGCCAACTGGTGGCCATTTTGTATTAAAGAATGTACTTCTCTGGATTCATATTTCTGACAACCCACGACAGACCAAGTTCAAACTTCACACGTACATTAGACATCATTTCAGACATGCATGTGCAGATTATCGTGATTCGTTTCAAGATTGTCGAATGGCGTCCAATTTCATCAGACTTGTCATGAATATACATGAGCATTTGTGCCATGATATATTACATACATGTACCCGTTGCTAAATAGCCACAACTGACTGCAGTTTGTGTCCTGTATGTGAATCAGATAATAAACACATGAATACAGACTATGGTATTAAAGGAAGGAATCACACAACTGACTCCAGTTTGTATCATGCCTGTCATATAGTTAGTGTCAATCAGAATAAATAATGCAATAATTTTAAGCCATTGTGGAACCTTATTTCAATGATGAATTTGGTTCAGCTGTTTAAATTTAATACATTTAGAGAAATTGTCCACATTACACGTGTCATAAGATGTACATATACTGTCTTTCATTCATAACGTGTATTGTTATGCAGCTTTAATGAATGCCGAATATGGGAAGTTGAAATAGCTTTAGCCCAGATTTGTAATACTACCAGTACAATGCATGTTTTAGCTGAAATACAAATTAGTTTTTCCACTGGGCAAATATAAGATAACATGAGATCACATGACTTTTCAGAGTTATTTAATTGCAAATACAGTTTAAGCTCCTTTGTGTGATTCGCACACAAGGGAAATAAGGAATTTGCTTTGTCAGTGTAAGCAAAACTTCTAAGCGGATTCTGGTCAAATTTAGTACATGGGTACCTTTGGGTAATGTGCTGACATGATTTTTTTTAAAGCTATAATCATGCATATCAAGTAGCTAATTTGCATACTGTCTCACTTCAGCCAGGGTAAGCAAAAAT